AACTAAAAGTCTTTGACCAAGTTACTTAGCATCTTCTAACAATTCTTAAAAGTTCTTCTAAAGAAATTCAATGTAAGGCAGTGTGAGCTATTATCCTGACTATAAAGAATGTCATTTTTATTGAAAAGAGCAAAATTGCCACTATACACATTTGACCTCCTTCTACCCGGTATTGTGGCTCATCTGAGAATAGGGATGGTGGCTGTATTAGTTCATTCTCATGCTGCTAATAAAGACGTACCTGAGACTGGGTAATTTATAAAGGAAAAGGGTTTAATTGACTCACACAGTTCAGCATGGCTGGGGAGGCCTCAAGTACTTACAATCATGGTGGAAGGGGAAGCAAACATGTCCTTCTTTGTATGGCAGCAGCCGGGAGAAGTGCAGAGTGAAGCGGGGTGGGTGGAAGTCCCTTATAAAACCATCAAATCTTGTGAGAGCTCACTGTTATCACAAGAACAGCAGCATGGGGGAAACTGCCTCCATGATTCAATTACCTCCCATGACGTGGGGATTATGGAAACTACAATTCAAGATGAGATTTGGGTGGGGACACAGCCAGACCATATCAGTGGCATTTATTATTGCAATTTGACAGCATTTAACGTTGGTAAATTATTTTACAGCTTGCAACATACTTTTCCACATTTGGTTCTCTCAGCAGCCTTTCTCAATTTTTAGTTAGTGAAATTGAGACCCAAAGTTAAATAGATTGCCCAAGTTCAGAGAGCTGGTCAGTGACACAGCCAGGACTTGAACCAAATGTTTCACTTCCAAATAGAAAGCTCTTGCCACCAAATTTTGATTTTTGCTTCATTTTCAAAGCTTGCACATGAACACAAGAGCAAGTATGTTACAGTTCTAAGATTTGTAGGACACAGAAGAGGATCTTTTGCTAGTATGCCACTGAGGACCCCACTGAACTACATTCAGTTCCCAGGAAGTATTAGGACTTCAAAGACCAGGCAAGAGAATATTACCGTGTCACTGCCAAGCAACAGAGACAAGGTCGCGGCAGCCACCTTGGGGAGAACTGTTGGGGATACAGAGTTACAGCAGGCCATTAGCCTCTGGGACACTTTCTATACCTGAGAATTCCCCAGAGGCCATGAGGGACTAATCCTCCCAAGGCCTCTGGGAATTTTCAACCCTGTGTGGAAAAGACAACCTCCAACCATTTAAGACAGTCAAGAAAAGTTGTTAATGATTCCCTTAGGGTCCCTCGCTTCAGGCAGTTTAAGAATTGTTTCATTTCAACCTAAATCAGGACATCTCTTTAAGAAAATCCAGCTTGCTATTTTACTGCCTCCTTTGGGATTAAGTTAAGGAAACTAAAGCCATTATCTGCTTGTGGCTTTGCTGAATCAATGAATTTTACTCACTATAAACCCACGTGAAGTGATTCTTTTTCATGAAAAGATAGCATAGGCATTTTTTGAGCCTTGAGTTTTGAAGGATACACAGAAGGCTCTCTTAGTCTGATAATTAGAGCAGACATCATGGCAGTGCACATGCACAGTGTCAGGGGCTTTTCCATATTGGACATGCTGAAAGACGGAGATACAGATTCTGTTTAAAGTAAAATAATAAAAAGAGGGGCTAAGAAGGAATTTAAAGTATTTGGAAATCATAAAAAAATGGTTTGTCTTTCTCTGGATGTTGCTATCTAAATTGTGCCTTCCCTTTAGACTTTTGAAACATCTTTTGTTAAAAGCAAATACAGGTACAACAATTTTGCTTCTTTGGTACAAGCCTAATGGACTGGCACACGTGGCTTAGGGTCAGCAGTCACAGCTTAGCAAAGCTACCATGTTTTCTTAAATCTAGGACTGCATTGATTCAAAAATGCATCACATTATTTTTATGCACCACTAAGAAAAAAAAATACCAACAGCTGGTCACACCAGCCTCTTATGGTTTTGTATCTTGTCTTTTCAATGGTACTGGTGATTTTTCTTTCCTTCATTTCATTGTCTGGCAAGTGAGAGGCACTGTCTTTTGCATGTGCCCCAATAACAAAATGTAACACATTTTCATCTACATCTATAAATAACTTGATTGTTGTTTTGCAAGAAATTAGGGAGTTTCAATCATCACTTGGACAGTAAGTATTTATTTCCCTAGTAATACCAAGTTTACATGCAGTGGCTCATTTCAACAAAATGACTTCGTTTCCAAAATGAATCATAGCGCAGTCTTTTTGAAGACCAACAAGTTATAATGTTTGGTATGTCACCACTGCCACCCAGACAACAGCAACGGTAGTAAGACACATTTAAATTTTGGAAAAGTTAAAATGTGAAAAACAAGTGTGATTTAGAATTGATGAACTATGATAATTCATCAGCCTAAATAGCCAAGAGATGAGGAAACCATCCAGATATGGGAATTTCCTGTCCAGTGATGAGGAATTGAAGAAGTAACCTAGTGACAAAGGACTTAATGTTCCTCTCAACATGACTAAGTTTTAGATAGGTTTCTTCCTGACCTCCCCCTTTCCTTAAAGCATTTACATTAGGAAACTTTTACATTCTTTCTCTGCCCCTTTGAGGTGTAAATCTTCTGTAACTCAGAAGTATCTTTCTCAAGGTCCTGGGAACCACCCCCTTTAAATGTAATAATCTAAAGAGAAGGGGCCCCTGTCTCCCAGTCTCTGTGGGAGGGTAGGAGCCTAATTTTGATGGGCTCTCATTAACAAACACAGACGGCTTCACACATTAATCAGCCTTCACTCCTAATGTCCTCTAGTGCTTTCCCATTAACTCACTCCGGCATTTACAAACCCTCCCCTCTAAGCCTTTTGTTTCAATGGAGTTGAATTTAATCTCTCTCCCCATTGCAACAGTCTGGATTAAAGTCCTCCTTGCTTGTTTACCTGGTCCAGTGCAACTTTTCTTTTACACTAGTAACCCAGTTCTAGAGAAATGGTCAGCGTTAACATGATACTGCTTACACACTTAGCATGTGTTATTTTGAATTGTGATTTTCTCTTTATGCATAAGTTTTGGTCTCCCAATTAGCTTATACAGTTTATTTATTTTTGGAGAGTAAATCCCAGCAATATATATTCCCCTGTAGTATTTTCATGTTGTAAATGCTGAGTGAAAGTGAAGGTGTGTTGAAAATTATAATTTATGATTAGAACTGGTCATTTTTGGCCGGGTGCAGTGGCTCACGCCTGTAATTCCAGCACTTTGGGAGGCCAAGGCGGGCAGATCACAAGGTCAGGAGATCGAGACCATCCTGGCTAACAGGGTGAAACCCCGTCTCTACTAAAAATACAAAAAAATTAGCCAGGCGTGGTGGCTGGTGCCTGTGGTCCCAGTTACTTGGGAGGCTGGGGCAGGAGAATGGCGTGAACCCGGGAGGCGGAGCTTGCAGTGAGCCAAGATCGCGCCACTGCACTCCAGCCTGGGCGACAGAGCGAGACTCCGTCTCAAGGAAAAAAAGAAAAAAAAGAATTGGTCATTTTTATCGTTTAGAATCGTAGGAGTTTAGAGGTGAAAGGAAATTCTAATCCAAATATCAAATTTTTCAGTACAATATTCTGTGACCTAGAGGGATTAATATCTTTTTCAAGATCACACAATTAGTTAATGGTTAGCCAAAAACAGTCCAGTGCTGTTTTCACTAGACAAGTGACGCCCCACACTGAGCTACCCGTTGAAGAGACCTATGGAGCTTTAAAAAATGCTGACGCAATTTTTTCATCAAGATCAATTGATTAAAAGTCTCTGGTTGTGAGCCCTCATATTTGTGGTTTGTAAAAGCTCTCTAGGTGATTATAAAATGCAGTCAGGTCACGAAACTACTAGAATATGCTTTCTCCCTATCTGTAACCTAAAAAGAAACTAGTTCTTAGTTTGTGGTCCTGCGCAGAGTGGCAGAGGAATAAATTTTTAATGCTTTTAGCACTTCTGAGTGGATTCCCATTTTAACAGCACTCATCATTTATTATTTTTATTCCTTCTGTTGCTTTCATGGCTAGAAGTTTATAAAGTTGCGTGTGTTACAACTGCCTTGCTGGTTATGGTAGCTCACAGAGCCTGGGAAGGTGGCCTTTGTACTAAAGCAAACAGTACTTGATGTGCCTCTGGAGCTGGTCTATTTGCAGATTGGGCTGCTTGGCAGAGGGAAAAAGTTTTCAATGAACATTTCTATAATATTACCAATCTATTAGACTGCTGGCCTACAAATCTGTACCAGTGATAGAATTTTTGTAGGTCAGTAAGATATATACTTCATAAGACTATGAATGCCAAGGAAGAAAGAAATTGGATAAATGCAAATGATTATTTTGGTTATACAAATAAGTGAGCTTAATATAGTAATAATTGCAATTAAAAAGAAAGCCAGGTTCCATTGCACTAGAGAACAACACCTTCATAAAGAAATTTAGCAAAGAAATTATTACATGCCTTAGCTGTAAGCTTTGAATAAGAACCACATTTTTAAGGTTTTTTAAAAAAATTCATTAGACATAAATTAAACCAAATTAGGAGATTGAAGTGTCTCCTCCCTCACTCCCACACCACCGTGGGCCTAACCTTAATTTGCTGATGTTCGCAGTATTTGTATAGTACTGCTCTTCTAGAGCAATGGCAATGCTACTGTGATGATTCAGGGAAAGAATTAGAAACTATATATTTTCAAAATTTCCCTTTTATGAGCAATTTAAATTGGCAGGGAAAACACAATTAAGCAATTTCAAAGGTATAATTTCATGGAGATTTAAACACCACATATCCAAACAGTGTTTTTTAAAAAAGAAATTTGTAATTAAATTTTCGTATTATTTATAGTTCTAATCTTTGGGAGATAATGGTGAAGAAAATTACCAAGAACGTGATTTTTACAAAGAACTATTTGAAAAGTCCCAGCCTAAAATGTTGAAACAGAAAAAGGTGAGTGACTGGTGATTTTGGAGGCAGAAAACAGTGGAGCCGTCCATTTGGCATTGCTCTAAGGTCATTAACTAGGGGAGATCTGCAGGCTCCGTTCCTCAACTTAGAAGCCAGTGGCTCATGGAAAAAAGTCCTCCCAGCAAATAAGAGACTGCGCCATAGATACTGCAGAAGGAACAGGGAATTACCAGGTATCTTTAACCGTTCCATTTTTACATCCTATGTTTGTAATCTTCAAATGCAAGGTTTCATTTTACAGTTTTTTTTTTTTCTGACAGCATCAAAGTTTGCTTCTATTTATGTAGAGTCTTGGGAGCCCCTAGTTTTTGAGCAAGTCAGTTCCATTGCACAGCTTTACTTGTTTGAAAATTCTCCAGTGCATCAATAAAAATCTGATTCCAAATGTTTTTACCTGCTAGCCTGAAGTTGCCTGTCTTTCTAGGTCTACATTTGGTAATACCAGGTTGGGGCTTGAAATCACCCACAGTATGAGTATTTATACGGAAGAAATCTGCAAGTGATACGAATCAGGAAATCTCTGAAAAGAGTTGGTTGTTAAACTTTACCAGCACACTGATACTTCTGGAGCTGAGCAAAATAAGTCTACCCCCTCATCTTCACAACAGTCTTTCAAACATATGTAAGGTTCCTTTCCCGTTCTCTCAGAAGTCCAGGCCATACAAGGTAGGAAGGACCCTGGGAGGGGCTCTTGCTGGGCAGTTCTAATTTTGAGCAAATGGTATGTATATTTGCCAGTGTGTCCTCATCTAAGATACACTGCTTGCTTCATTAAGCTGTTTCAGAAATTAAAATAATGTCTGCAAAGTGCTTAGCATGGGACCTAGCACGTCATAAGACCTTGGACATTTTTAGCTCTTATTATCTTTAGTGCAATGGTTTATTGAGCCAGAGAACAGCCTTTGCTTACTCTTTTCTCCCAGTCAAGGAGTTTAGGGAAAAGTGCATCCTAACAATAGTTTTTACTTTTTTCCAAATGGCTTTATTTGACCCAAATTTGTACAATTTTGATTAGGCACCAAGGCTTACATATACATTTACTTTCAACTTCAAATTTAATGTTGCATCCTATTAGCACACTTGGATTGTCAGAGTGACTATCCCAAAGCCTTCTTTTTGTCTTACAAAGAGAGTGCCAAACCATTTAAAATGTTTGCTTGAACAGGAGCATACCCTTGGGTTTGAGGAGAGGTTGTGGAGTGTGTGGTCATTTCCTATACTATCAACTCTTCTCTGGTTCATCATTCTGTCTCTCAGAGCCTAACACATTTGTCCCTTTGTGCATTACTTACTCTTCCTCTCCTAATGTCTTTAAGGCTCATGGTACTCTCCACATGAAAAGGGGAACCCAGCTGTTGTTGTGGCATGCTAACCTCGTCACCAAGTTTCCCTCCTCCTCATGTACATGTCCTGTATAATCCTATCCTCTTGAGTGTGGGCATGAACTGTGAACATGATGGGATAGCACTCCCTTGATTAGGTTATTCTGTAAGGCACAGGTGATTTCAGAAAAGGAGATTATCCTTCTTGGGACCGGCTTAACCTTTAAAGGGATTGGATTTTTGCTGAAGTGAGAGATTTGAAGCATGAAACATATTCTGCGTGAAGGAGATCGTCTGTTTCTAGCTTTGAATTATGGAGGGGGCCAATTTGTAAGCACTTAAGAGCAGCTTCTAAGAGCCTTCAGCCCACCAGAAATCAGAATTTCAAACACACAGCCTCAAAGAACTGAATTCTGCCAACAGCCTGAGTGAGCTTTCCCCTATCCTATAAAAGAAAGTGAACCCACCTGACACCTTCATTGTGAGACTCTGGGTAAAAGACCCACTTTAACTAGACTTGACTTCTGAACTACACAACTGTGTGAAAATAAATGGCTATTGGTTTTGGCTGCTTTTTTTTTTTTTTTTTTTTAATGTAGCAACAGGAAACGCATGTACCATCTATCATGTGCCCTCAGAATTTTCTTCTTCAGTCTAAACAGCTTTAATCTCGTCACCATATTGCCAGACTCTCTCAGCAGCCATGGTTGCCTCCTTCTCGATTCTTTCTGGTTTCATCAAAGTTTCTTCTAAATATGGGCTGTCTTTTCTCTATCTCTGGCTCAATATTCACTTGAATCACAGGTAGAATGTCTTAAAATGATCCAAGAGATGTTCCACAATGAGGTAAATGAACTAAGACATAACATTTTGAGGAGGCATGTGTATGTTATATCAACACAGAAAAATGTGAATCTGTTCTGAAACAAGGCAGAGAAATAATCGAATAAAAAAGCCTCTGACCCATTCCTCTACTGAGGCATTTTTCACACTGCCATGTGATTATTTCCATCTGGGTCTAGTCTGTGAACTCATTGGGGGTGAGAGACTGTACTATTTTCATCTCTAAACTCCAAGGATAGGTGTTCAGTGAATGTCTTCTACATTTACCTGAAATAGAAGCACTTGCAAATGATAGGAAGTACAGCTTGCTTAGATTGATTGAAGATATTCTCCGAAGTTGAGAAGCAGCAGAGAGAACTATCCGTTTGGAAAGATGTGAGTGACTGAGGAATGCACCATGAAGTAAATGCTTTTTCAGGAACTGAAAGCAATTTTAATGAAGCAGTTGTTGGCGAGCTCTTCCAGGGTGAGAGATGAAGAATTGAACAAAAATAAAAATGAGACACCTTAGAATTTGCCATAGAACAAACAAGACAGGATGTGATAACACTGGTAGTTTAGAGCCACTCTCAAAGCATATTTTCTCTAATTCAGAAGGGCACTGTCTTTGAGAGAAACTGGGTTATACACACAGACATAACCAGGGGGATTTGTCCAGGGTAAAATAGCCAAACTAATATTAAGAGAAGAAAATCTACTCACAGTTGAAAGATAAATGGAATAAAGAGAAAGAAGCTGAAGAGCCTAGCCTTCTGTAGGGAAGTCTAGGCTCCCAACAGGGAACCCAATTAAGTTCTCTCTCACTTGGGTTGCCAGTTCCTCAGAGCACAGTCTGGGGAACAATCATCTGAAGGAAGTAAGCAATTGAGAAATAGCAGCAACCAAAACCTAAATTTATGTTGTTACTTGGAGTGCATATGCTGCATGAATACATGCGAGATCAGTAACAGTTTCACCGTTCCTTAGTTGGGGAAACAGGCCCAGAAGGTATGTGACCTGCTAAAGGTTGCACAGCTGATAACTGGTAGGGTCAGGTAAGGACTAGAACCTGGTCCAAGAATTTGATGCCAAATCCTGTGCTCTTTCAGAACATCAAATTATCTCTCCAAGGAAGAACAAAGACTAAAAAAAATTTATGTATTTTGAGATCAACACCCAGGTTGATTTTTTTTTTCTTTTTTGTGAGATGTAGATGAGTTATGCTCCTGGGAAAGTCATTTAATTTTCTGGAAAAAAAATCCAATAACCCATTCAACTTTAACATCTTTGATTGCCCGATTCTAAGAATTTATTGAGCACCTAAAATGAATAAAGTTCCAGGACTGAGACTTTATAGGAAATACAGAAAAACTATGACTCTCTGTTGTTGTATATTCATTTATTTAACAGACATTTATTTAAACATCCTTCTGCCAGGCAGGTACTAGGAAACAATTCTAGATACTAGTGTATTTTCCTCCATCAGCCAATTATACAAAGGTTTGCATTGAAAGTTGGCTCATAAATTCCCTCCTACTTTGATATCAATCCTGCATCAGCGATGTTCCTACAAATGAATCAGATGATATCTATTTTATAGATTTCTTTCTAAAAGCAGTTACTTTCTAACTCAATGTTAAAGTGTTCCATTTACCTTGAAGGTACAGATAATGTTTGTATTTGTTTTCGATAGTTGCTAGGTAACAGAACACTGCCCACCACTTTTCATCACAGAAACTATCAGTCAATTTAAGATATTTGTTTTTTATTTTATGTTATATTTTGGAAAGTGAGGAATGTATCTAATTGAGATCCACACCATTAAAATAAAAAGCTTTGCTAGGTAATTAACAGTGAATATCTGTGTGGTACCAAAAAAACTGTTATGGTTACTCACTATCTCATTACATGGTATTGTATCATTTCTATCATTTGAAATAGAATTTGCAAATCCATTTAACAAGGCAGACATGAAGTATAAAACAACCCAACATGCTGAAAGTGAACAAGTGAACAAGGATGACACTCACTGTCACCCCCCTCTCTGGTGGAACTCTCAAGATAGTTGGCTGGCTGTAAGTGATCCATATTTCTCTAACATAAGGATGAGAAATTATAAATAGAAGTTCTAATATTTTCTCTCATCATTTTGTTCCATCTTATACTATACTACAGTCACCACTGCCCATCTGCCATTGTCCTCCCTCCTCCCAGGTGACTGCAGCTCATTTTGGAGGCACCATTTAAAAACACATGCTAATTACAAAAATATTTAATAACACACATATGTGTAAAGAAGAAATTAAACATAACCCATAATCTACTACCTCACGACGAATGTATATTACATAATTGGAAGTTTCCTATTTGTGGCAGTTGGTTGTGTGTGTGTGTATGTGTGCAGCCTTTACATTTTTAAATCTCAACACTAATGTTAATAACTGGAATATTATTTCTGTTGGCTTCTTGTTACTATAAAGAAAAGCTATTTTAAACATTTTATTTTATGTTGACATTTCATTAAATTTACTAAATTCTCTTGTTATTTATAGCAGGTTTTTCTTTTTTTTGAGAGAGGATCTCTTTCTGTTACCCAGGCTGGAATGCCATGCCATGGTAACTGCTCACTTTAGTCTCAACCTCCTGGCTCAAGTGATCCTCATCCTCACCTCAGTCTCCCAAGTACCTGGGGCTACAGACATGTGCCACTAGGCCTGGCTAATTTTTGTAGAGATGAGGTTTCACCATGTTGCCAAGGCTGATCTCAAACTCCTGGCCTCAAGCAATCCTCCTGCCTCAGCCTCCCAAAGTGCTGGGATGATAGGTGTGAGTCATCATGCCTGGCAGTCATTTTTTTTTGGTTCGTTTGTTTTTCCACTGGAGTTTCTTGAATTAATTTTCTTGGTGTACAGTAGAATAATCAGCAAAATTTTTCTTTTCAATATTTAAACCAATGGAACACTTCTTTTGTTATATATTATTTAGTAGAAACTTCAAGATAAAAACAAATAATATAAATATATTTTGCA